CATGTTTTTTATTATTGTCATTAGTGATTATCTCAATTTCGGCTAAAAGAATTGACAAAATCCTACACACTGTGCATTTAAGGTTAATTAAGGCCTTATTTTTGGATTGATGAATTCAATGCCTTTCAAGACTTTTTAAGGATCTGCAGGAACCCTGGAATAACAAAATGAATAATTCAGAAGTGAACAAAGGTTCTGTTCACTATAATGAGCCTTTTTGGGAAGGCGCAGTTTTGTAACCCAAACAGGCCTTCAAAGTGTGTGTGTGTGTGTGTGTGTGTGTAAGAGAGATACTGCTGATTCAGTAGGGATGGATGAAGGTGACCCCCGCCTGCTCCCACTGCCTGTCTCACCACCTGATATTGATCCCAGTTGCCCAACTCAGATCTGTCTCAAGGATACATTTAAAGCCTTCTTGACATTTCAAACATGACACTGTGGGACGTGTTACACTTCTGCTACCCATTCGTCACCCGAGTCCTCGCCAACCACTTCATGTGCGCAGCCCTGCAAACTTACGCCATCCCAACAGAATTTTTTTTCTGAAAGTGAGTGAGAAATACACTTCTGCTGGGGGCCAGTGTGGGGGGGGTGCGTTATTGTTGTTGTTTTCACGCCCGTCTGCACACAAAGTGTCGGAGAACTAAGAATAGAGCAGGCTGCAACTGCAGAATTCAAATGCAGTGGCCGGGAGCAAAGGTTTGGACCACAGATGGGAGACCGTGCCAGCGTAAACCTGCACTGTCAAGGGTAAACTGCCTTCCACTAAACCACACACACTTTCACCTCACCTTAAAACAGCAGCATGAATATGCATGGAGCTGAAGGACGCAGGAGCTACATAATTAGACAATCAACAACTCCCAGGTGACATGCTTTTACTACGACAGACGGGAAGCGCGCCTCATTTCATCCTCCCCTCTCGTTAGCAGCGAAAGGTGTGAGTTGTGCTCGGATGTCAACACGCATTTCCCACCGACTGGTGTGGGAGGGGTTAAAACTTGGGCTGAGAGCTGAAACCAGTGAGAAAAAAACAGACAGACGCAGAATAAAAATCAAGAATTACTTAAAGCAGACAGCAGCCGCTGAGTTCCTGGATGCAAAACAAACAAACAAAAAAGAAGAAGTGTGAGGAGCAGAGGTGCACGYGAGAACGCGTGCACGCATCTCCTGCTCCCAAACAAACGAATGCTTCCTAACAGCAGCAGCACCTTGACTGCACACGCCCCACAATCTGGGCATTGCACACGTTTTAAGTCAGGGTCGAGGCATCCATCACTTCCAAACGAGCTCCTTGTGACGAAGTGGGACACACCCTAAAACAAACAGCAACGGAACACACACACACTTTCACACACCAAAGAGAGAGAGAGAGAGACATAGCTGCCAGGCTCTTGTGCACACACCTGGCTGAGAGAACTATTTGAATCCGTCTATTATTCATGGCAAAACGGGTGCAGGTGTTCAGAACSAGGGCTTCTGTTTACATTTCATCAAGGCAATTTGTGGGGTGGGAGATGAGAAATTTAAAAAAAAAATAAACGATGCAGGAAAAAAGCAAGGGAGGGATGAAGAAACTCTCAGTCACGGCACACACGTGCACACACGTTTACACACAAACATGACCACCAGCTGGAGGAGAAACTTCATCTATTATAACAGTCTCATCCCTGGGGTGTTAGATCATAAACCTTATATTGTATTTCTTTTTCTATAACACACTGACACACACACACTGCTGTCAGTCAGCCATCCTCCTCCTCTTACACACACACACACACACACACACACTCATTGATGAGTCCCAACAGATGCTCAGGTTTCCCACCTTTAGGCACAGTACTAACCTGCCTTGCCGCTGACACACACACATTCTCTTCAAGCAGTTCAGCCTTTCAAAGAGGATCCGTTTGAACGCGTCTATATACATTGACCCTGCTGGGGTTAAAGAAGAAGCCAGCACTTTAATAAACACGAGCTGCTTGTTTAAAAAAATAAAATAAAAATTCAAAAACAAGCAAAGCAAAGCAGCAGGAGGAGGAGGAGGGAGCTCCGGAGCTTCAAGCCTGATCAAACGCAGTGATGAGGAAGATGCAATCACCGCAGCCAATCCCAGAGAAAGTCAGAGCCGATGTGCGCGGCTGACGGGATGTTCGGACACTATGATGCTCTGAGAGCCGCGGTGAGCTTGTGGAGAGAGAGAGAGAGAGAGAGAGGGAGAGGGAGAGAGAGAGAACACACACACATAGACACACTTACACTATCGGGCAAATCTGACGGCGGCTGCTGATAAGGTTTAGCAGCTGCTGCTCTGCTGTGAGCAAAAAAACACTTTTTTAAAGCGTTGGATTTGTGGTTGTGGTCAAAACGGGTTATTTGAACTTAGCAAAGASTCTACACACCCTTTATAGAACAATAAACAGGGAATTACTTACCTCCATCTTCGCTTTTTCTGCTCGTCGGGTCCTTTCCCCCCCTCTAATCTCCTTGACCCTTACACGTGTAAATTAGAGCTGTAAAAGTAAACATATTAGCTAATGTCATTGAACTCCAGGGGAGGTGCTGCGGGAACTGAAGCCTCGGCTGAGGCGGAGAGAAAAAAAAAAGAGAAAATGTTCAGGTTCCTGGCATGTTTATGCGGAAAGAAGCGACGCAAAAGGTAACGCTGAGAAGTTGAGGGAGAACAGAGGGGAGGAGTTCAAAGTACCGCCCAGTCTTCCTGATACCTGCCTGCATAGCACCTGCACTCTGCTCCACCTTTATTACAGCCGACACGTGAGAACCAAACCCAAACAGAGGTTTATTCACAATAAAGTAAAATAAAATAAAATATTTATTTTTATTTTTTATAGGTGTAAAAACTGACGTCATTCCAATTGCTACAGTCTAGGCTTGACTAGCTTGAAATATTTATAGACATCTCTTGTATTTATAAATGTAAAAGTATATCAACTTCTGTCCTGATGCATCTCAGTAATCCAGGTAAAAAATCAAAAATAAAAAAATTGTATAGGTCTTCTGGACGGGTTCTTCTCTAATGAAACGTTTCGTCTCCCCTCTAAGAGACTTCTTCAGTCTGAGAGTTTCAGGCAAAATTCAGGCTTTTAAGCACTGCCTCCATGTGACTGATACTC